TCATCAGCATCATCATCATAATCATCATCATCGTCATCATCATCATCATCCGCATCATCATGATCAGCATCATCAGTAGCATCAGCATCAGCAACATCATCACCGCAATCATTGACATCATCATCAGCACCAGCATCATCACCATCATCATCATCATCATCATCATCATCATCATCATCATCATCATCATCATCATCATCATCATCATCATCATCATTATCATTATCATGATCAGTATTATCATCCACCATTGTTTCTTTTGTCTCCTCCTCCTCCTCGTTTCCTCCTCGTCCTCCTGGATCTGTTCTTCCCAAACAATGTTTGCACCTGGGGATGCTCACTTCTGGTTTGAACTCCTGGGCCTGCGTGTTGATGCCGTGCTGGCCGTCGCCGCCCCGTCGCCACCCCGTCGCAGCCTCGTCGCCGCCCGTCGTGTGGGCCGTGTGTTTCGGTCTGGAACGATGTGGCCGCCGTCGCTGCCCCGTCGCGGCCTCGTCAACGCCTCATCGCCGCCCGTCGCCGCCGTTGGTTCTCCTGTGTAGAAAAATATTGAGATCTGCCCGCCCCCCGGAATTAACGATTCCGTTTCTCGTATTGCAGTCTGCGTATGATCCCGCCCCATCGTCCATCCCAAATATGAACCCGTACCATCCCAAGCATGCCTGCATCAGTACCCCCATCATCCTCTGCGAAAAGCGGTATGCGTGCACACTCGCTGATCAAAAGCAATCAATGTTCAAGAACCGGATTACAAAACATGTGGCGACAGGCGCACGCGCGCGTCGTCGCGCGCGCATGCCGAAATCCTTCCAACAACGCAGCCTTCGTAAGGATGTCAAAATCGAATGTCACGAAAACCTCGAGAGGCACACGGCTTTGTAAAAAGAACCTTCACCTATAATTCAAAAAAACACGCGTTCGGGCTATTGCGAGTTTTAAAGAAAAACACAAAATCCCCCATATGCACACGCCTTGCTACCAAATGGGCCCCTCACGCGCGCGTTGAAATCGTTCGAACGCCCTTGCTCGCGTGTTGTCGCAAAAATCTGTTTGCAACAACTGGGACGAAGTGCACGCGCGCGTCGTCGTGCGCGCATGCGGAATTGTTTCAAAACCGTTGGTTTCGTAAGGATTTCACAATCGATTACCCCGGAAACATAGAAACACGGTGCTGTTACATCCGTTGTCAAAAGTGGTTGCGCCCGCGGTCCTGCGACTTTTCTGGCAAGCCATGAGACTTCGACGCATTCGTTAGATTCGGCCAAACGGGCCCTTCGTGCTGCACGTCGAAAACATTCGAACGCCCTTGCGCGCGCTGGGGGGGTTACGCTCCGCATCGAAAAACACCATGCGCGCCACTATCGCGCATCGGCCGCGCGCGCACGCCGAACTCCCCCCAAAACCTTTTAGAGCCGACGTGAGGGAGCCGTCATCGCCGCCGGCGCGATCGGCATCGGCGCCGTCACTGGCCTCGCCGTAGTCATTGCCGTCAGCGCCACCAGCATCGATACCATCATCATCGCGCCTACCATTATCGGCATTGCCATGGCAACGCGCCCCCTCAGTCGCCGACGCGCACTGAAGCACCCGCTGGGAAGCGCCCAGCGGCCAGCGCCAAGGCGGCCGCGCCGGCAGCGCCAAACTATCTGGCCGCCGCGCGCGCGAGCACGCGCGGGCCATTGCGGCCGCGGAAATGCACCAGCCAACTCCAAGCACCCGTCGCAACCGCCGCCGCGCGGGCTTCGCACGCACAGCGACGGGCGGGCGGGCGAAACGATCGCGCGAGCAGCGGGGTGGACAACTCGAGACAAGGGGAAAAAATGGCCGTCGTCGCGGGCGTCGCACTAATCGCCACGACGACGTTTCGCGGCGCCGCGTTGCGCGGCGCAGCGTTGGGCGATGCTCGGACGCGCGCGCTGCGCTGCCGCGCGAGGACGCGCCGCGCCGCGCCGCGATGCCACGCGCACGCGCACGCACGCACACGCACACGCACACGCACACGCACACGCACACGCACACGCACACACACACACACACACACACACACACCAAAAACGCGTCGGGGGGGGGGAGGCGGAGGAGGCCCCGCGAAAGACGCCCCCGGAAGGACCCCCCGCCCGAGAGCCCCCCCCTGGCGGGATAAAAACGCCCCCGCCCGAGAGCTCCCCCCGGGCACCCCAGTAAAGAACAAAGAATTTTGAGAGCGAGAGAGAGAGAGAGAGAGAGAGGAAAACCAAAAACACACACACACACACACTGGAAGAGAGAGAGAGAGAGAAAGAAAGAAAGAGAGAGAGAGAGAGAGAGATTGAACAACCTTTTTGTATGAAAGAGAAAGAGGGGGGGGGGAAAAGAGAGAGAGAGAGAGGAGAGAGAGAGAGAGTGAAAAAGAAAAAGAGAGAGAGAGAGAAAGAAACACACACTATCCTGGCGAAGGACCCAACCATATGCAATTGTGAATAACGTTTTGTGGGTGCCGCTTTCGGTGGGGCTCCTTATGGGGCCACGAAAGGCGTGCCACGAAACGCTGTCCTGGGCGTACGGGACGCATGAGGGCGATAGCACTGGGGCCTTCGGTGGAGCTCCCTATGGGGCCACGAAACGTGTGAGGGGTGTGCCGAAATGAGTGCGGCGCCGCCATGCCAACGCAGCCACTGGGGCCTTCGGTGGAGCTCCCTATGGGGCCACGAAACGTGTGAGGGGTGTGCCGAAATGGGTGCGGCGACGCCATGCCAACGCAGCTACTGGGGCCGTCGGTGGAGCTCCCTATGGGACCACGAAGCGTGTGAGGGGTGTGCCGAAATGCTTGCGGCGCCGCCATGCCAACGCTGCCACTGGGGCCTTCGGTGGACGGTGGAGCGCCCTTTATGGGGCCACGAAAAAACGTGTGAGGGGTGTGCCGAAATGGGGGGCGGCGCCGCCATGCCAACGCAGCACTTGGGGCTTCGGTGGAGCTCCATATGGGGCCTCGAAACGTGTGAGGGGTGTGCCGAATGGTGTGCGGAGCCGCCATGCCAACGCAGCCACGGGGCCTTCGGTGGAGCTCCCTTGGGGCCACGAAGCGTGTGAGCGGGTTTTGAGGCCGGAATTATATTGCGGCGCGCATGCTTAGCCCGGCACCGGTGCTGCTGGGAGCTCCCCTATGTGGCCACGAAACGTGCGAGGGGTGTGCCGAAATGGGTGCGGCGCCGCCATGCCAACGCAGCCACTGGGGCCTTCGGTGGAGCTCCCGATGGGGCACGAAACGTGTGAAGGGTGCGCCGAAATGGGTGCGGCGCCGCCATGCCAACGCAGCCACTGGGGCCTTCGGTGGAGCCCCCTTTTATGGGGCCACGAAACGTGTGAGGGGTGTGCCAAATTGGGTCGTGCGGCGCCGCCATGCCAACGCAGCCACAGAGGCCTTTCGGTGGTAAGCCCCCCCTAATTTCTTTGGGGCCACGAAAACGATTGGAGGGGTGTCTGCGAAATGGGTGCGGCGACCGCCATGCCAAACGCTGCCACTGGGGCCTTCGGTTGGAAGCTCCCTATGGGGCCACGAAACGTGGTGAGGGGTGTGGCCGTATGGGTGCGGCGCACGCCATGCCAACGCACAGCCACTGGGGCTTCGGATTTGGTGCTCCCCTATGGGGCCACGAAACGTGTGAGGGGGTGCCGAATGGGGTGCGGCGCCGCCATGCCAACGCAGCCACTGGGGCCGTCGGTGGAGCTCCCTATGCGGCCACGAAACGTGTGAGGGGTGTGCCGAAATGGTGTGCGGCGCCGCCATGCCAACGCAGCCACTGGGGCCTTCCGTGGAGCTCCCTATGGGACCACGAAACGTGTGAGGGGTGTGCCAAATGGTGTGCGGCGCCGCCATGCCAACGCAGCCACTGGGGCCTTCGGAGGAGCTCCCTATGGGGCCACGAAACGTGTGAGGGGTGTGCCAAATTGAGTGCGGCGCCGCCATGCCAACGCAGCCACTGGGGCCTTCGGTGGAGTTCCCCATGGGGCCACGAAACGTGTGAAGGGTGTGAATGGGTGCGGCGCCGCCATGCCAACGCAGCCACTGGGGCCTTCGGAGGAGCTCCCTATGGGTCCACGAAACGTGAGAGGGGTCTGCCGAAATTGGTGCGGCGCCGCCATGCCAACGCAGCCACTGGGGCCTTCGGTGGAGCTCCCTATGGGGCCACGAAACGTGTGAGGGGTGTGCCGTGATAGTGGGAGGAGGGAAGAGAGAGGGGGGAGGAGGCGGAGGAGGAGGAAGGAAGGAGAGGAGACGCGGGGCACCGTCTCTTCAAAACGAGGACCCAACACCACAGGATGGTTGGGAAAAAAAGACAAAGAGAGAGATAGAGAGAGAGAGAGAGAAAACAAAAAGAGAGAGAGAGAGAGACCCCACCATAATGAAAGAAAAAGAAGGGGGAGAGAAAGAGAGAAGAGGGAAACCAGAAAGAGAGCAGAAGGGAGAAATATAGATATATATATATATATACATGTATGTATATGTGTGTATATATATGTGTGTATAAATATAGTTTTCCCGACCTAGACTCTGCCTAAAAGGGTTCTTACTCGCTTGGTTTAAAGGGTCCGGTCAGTGCAAACCGCCCCGGGCGGTTCCCCCAGTCCCCTGGGAGCCAAGCAAAAGCAACAGCAAAGGTAAAAGCGAACGCGCGGTTCCCCCAGTTGCGCCCCCTGGGTGCCAAGCAAAAGCAAAGCATAGGCAACCGAGGAGGCAAAAGCGAAGGCAAAGCAAAATCATAGCATAGCATAG